TGCCAAACAAATTGTATTTTATCTTGGTTTCTGTTTTTATCGACTCGATTAGCAGCAATGAGCGTGTTTAGCTTGGTAGGCCTTGCAATCCTTTGTTCTGTTTATTGTCCCTGTCTATCCCAAGTCGGAAACGCGCAAAAAACTCTGATTTTAAGCGCTACACCACCTGCGACTGGATTGTTATTCTTCAACCATAAGCGGTTAAAGGGCAACTCCGCTCGATTCCGAAGATTTCACGATAATGAGTGATTTTGAATTAAAAAGCCCAAGTAAAAGACACTACGTCGTTTGCTTTACAAAAAATGGGATATATATTTTTAAATCTAATTTTAAACACGAGCGGAAATCGAAGCCAAAACTTCGGCTCCGTCCAGTAACATTGGCCTCGTGCTGCCAAGAACATAGCCATCACGTGGTATGAGGTGTTACGTGATCCTCGGCCCAACGACGGGCGGGATTGGGGTGGGTGTGTGGCAAGCGCGAGTGTCGTCTGCACCGCACTCTTCACCACGTTTTGGTGTCTACGGCATTCAACGACGTCTGCACAACTGCGGCATAAGTCTGCGCACGTGGTGTCTGTATGTAGTGTGAATGAAACTCCGAGAGACAATAATCATAAACGGTGAGACGACGACGGCTGTTGTGACATGAAAAACGGCGGGACCACGGCAGGCTGCCGGACGGCTCCCAAGAAGCACACTGCGCAGGCGCATTACGCCAATCACGTGGACACCGCTAAGCGCCGAGAGGCAACGTTGTTGACGTCATGCGCTATGCTCGCCCGGAGAAGTAAAAACAAGCAAAAGGGGGCCATGATCATAACGATTAGCTCAATGTTGGCTCCGCCCATGCCGTAGCCTTGACTGCAGTGTTGGTTGCGCCTGAATTCGCCCGCTCAAGTCAGCCGATTTCGGCAACTTGGCGAGTTGTAAAGTTTGCCGGACCGTTTAAGAAACATTTAGACAGAACTGCGTCTTAATATTTGACGTGTGGTCTTCCTAGGCAATACTGAAGAGGACTGCATTGTTTTTTCAAAACCAAAAATGAAGCGGAGTTGCCCTTTAAGCAAGTCGGCCGAGGTGAGGTCGACTTGTTGAGCGTCAGATTCAGATTGCCTGAGGCTCTGCGGCCCGGGATCCGGACGTCAGCCAGTTCAGAACAAATGAGCAAAATATTCTTTTTAGTACTTCATCGTTGTTGGAACCGCATTCTCGCAAGATAAATCGTGATTTGATAGAACTGAAACGCGGTCCGATCCGAAACGTTGCCGGCCAGCAGCCCTCATGCGAGCGGTAGGTCTGCTCGGCGTACTTTAACCTTGCTCCTGCTTATCGCTTCAAATACGATAACTCCGTTAATCGTAGTCCGCTGTTTCGATATTCAGTTGCACAATAAGATAAACCCAAAATTTGTTGCCCTGTTCCTCCGCGCAACTGCACGTCCGTTGCTTACTCACGTCACGTGGTCCACACATATAATTACTATGTCGAGCATGTGTGGGTTGTGCGATAAGCAGTGCTGGTTTGCATTTTGAGCTGCTGAAAGCCACTCAGAAAATATCAAGGACACTTTCTTCAGAAACATAGGGTACTTGCTTTTTGATTCTCATTAAGGCTCACAAAGTTTCAAGTTTTTACGTCTGTTACACTGTTATCTCATCTACCTAGGTCCCTAACAACTCATGTTCATCCATGCTGCTTAGCACAATTGAAATTTCTCCCTTGCTTGTTTAAGGCACAAGCTGAAGTGCAATGAAAACTGATCTGAGCTGCTCCTAGCCTGCTCCAGAACATAGTTTTAGCTGCTCCCAACCTGCTCCAAAAGAGCTGTTTCAGCTGCTCCCAAGTACATTTTAGGAGTTCCACCCCTGACTTATTAAAAGTGTTCCTCGCGACCACCACCAGGGGATTATTTTTGGCTCTTCTGGTTGGCCAAGAGAGCATGTAAAGCCTTCTATCTGCGTGTTTTGCATGCCCTGGCTTTGCCCGCTCCTCCCATTGATCAAACTCTATACGGCTCTGACCCTTGTGCGTCACTCCATTAGTGTCCCAAAAGACAGTGATCATCACCTTTTTGTCAAAAGGAGCCGACTTGTTTGTTCTTGGGGATTGGGGATGATGTCACTTCATTGATTGCCTCTCTTGTCTCTGGGTCAAAATTATGAGCTCAGGTTTCGTCCCCTGTGACTATTCGGGACAAAAAGGTTTCTTCAGCGTCGAAACACTTCTGCAGTTCAGAAGAGATGGCCTTTCCCTGCTGCTGGTGCTCGGCTGTGAGGCTCTGGGAACCCATCTTGCGCATACTTTTTAATATACCAGAGCGCACTGTAACACATCTCCTAAAGAACATGTATTGCTGTATCAGCGAGGTCAGCGCTTTTACCAGCATTGACTTGTGCTGTGGTGTTGGAAGGATGTAAACAGGCTTTTAAAGGGGTAATGCAACAACTTTTGTACTTTCAGAAAATACCGATTATAATAGATTCCGTGACGTCCATAACCTATGAAGCATGCGTTTTCTCCGTGCAATGGTAGTTGCAGAAAAAAAATTGCAGAGCAAAACGAGCAGTATTCACCCCGTCAACTCGCAGCCAGAACAAGAAGCCATGTGTTCTGGAACTGATTACATGCCGCCAATGTTTATCATAGCCACGCACTTGGGTTGACAAAGCACAGGGTAGGTTCTAAGTTCCACACATTGTTAAGGTTCGGCTATTCCCGTTATCATCACAGCGATTGGGCACGAGCCACTACCCAAATGCATGTCGAGGCATTGATTATCACAAGTCCAAATCTAATGCTCATGCGGTGCTCGTCTCCACTATATGAGCCGCATTTAAATATTGTCTCAGCAGGGTTTGCAAAGCTCGATGACGAAGCTTAGTCTCCAATTTCCAACAGTGTAGTCGCCACAGCTGTATCAGCAAGTGTTGCATATAAGAGATATAAGAGCCCCTCTAATTCTTTCCTGGGCTTGATTTTTGCTGAGCTCAAGGAAAGCCAAATTCCCACCAGTGGACTGTGTGTCCATCTCGCAGAAACCATGTCAAAGTAGCAAAAAATGCTCTGGTGCTGATTGGTGCAATCTTGTAGTGAAAAGCGAAAGTTAATTCCCGCATGTGGCTTTGACTCGTGATGTTGGCTTCTGGCATCTTCCAATTAACAAATTATGAAAGCTGTGTTACGTTGAAACTAAAGGATTGGGGACACTAAGCAATCATATAAATTTTTTTTTTTTTTTTTTTTAAGTGTTCTTTCACTGACGGTTTTTTTTTTTTTTTTTGCATATTAGTTTAGCAAATTTTTTCATGGTAGTAACTCGGAAATGGTGCCCTTCCTTGCATGCGCCATCAGCGTTATGACAGCCAGAAATACACAGAATTCACTTGCAGTCACATTATTTCACTGGTATATACGGGATCAATCCGCTGATGTAAATGCAGCAAGTGCTTGGCACTTGGAAAAATTTGTCTGCTCAACAATTGAGTAGTTTTTTTTTTTTTTTTTTTCCTAAAATAATCAAATTTATGTGAAGCAAACCTAAGATAAACAAGAATGTTTGCTTATCGGATGGAGCCCTGTACCACAGCCACATTTACATGGTTTTTTCTTGCATAGTGTTACCTATTTCAGATTAATACCTTCTGGAAACGAGGAACCCTCAGATGGTACTCCGAATTTGAGCCTAACTTGGCTTAGTTTTGGTTTCTGGATTTGGCTCTTCTAGAAAAAAATTAACTCAATTACATCTATAACATTCTGCATAAACTGGCAGCTTAGATAAGCTGCCTCATTTTTACCGCTTTCATCAGAGTGGGATTTAACCAAAAATTTTTTTTTTATTATTTTTCGCCCCTCAAAGATTTGACGCGTCCTGGCTGTGCTGCCGAGACAAAGCGACTGAGCAGATGATGAAACGTGCGCTCCACTTTTTGCCTCAAATTTAACCTACAGCTTAATGTATTTAGATTATCACTCCATAAAGGGCGCGACTAGCCCGTATTATTTATCTTTTTTACACGCATTGCCTCGGGAGTGAGCTTAAAACGCGAAACGAGTAAAGACCTTTTTCGTTTACTCTCGTTTACTCCTAAATGTATTTCTATTGGCATGGTGACAGCAAAGCGACGTTTTCGCCCGTACTGGAAGGGACGACATTCAAGATGGCAGCACCCTTGTTAAAAAAGTCTATACTCTGGAGTTGCTGTAAAGGTTTTCAAAGCATATTCTTCAGAATTCGCCGAGGTGAGAAGTGCTGCCACCATGGCCTACACCTAATTCTTGCTCAAGCAGCTTTCAGGGATCCATTCTTGAGAGAAACATAGACCAATCAGTCGCTGCCATAACTGTAGTTCACTGGAGGTAGGCACTTGTGTCCTTGAGGTAGCTCATGCAGAAGTGCAGATCCGCAGCGAGGTTGTCCTGTGTGCCTGATAGACTACAGTTCCCACGATGCATGGCAACGAAACTGTCTGGTCAGATATGTCTTAATTCTTTTATTTTTTTTTTATGGTATGAAGACATGACCTCTCCGTCGAAAGGCGCTCAACATTTCTTCAGCTCCTGCACTTTCTTTGTTCGACAATAAAATAAATTGTCTGATTAGATTGCGCACCTACTATAAATATTTATTTTGTAAATTTTTTAACTTTTCATGGTGGTTTTTAGAATTTTTCTGCATGAAAGACCAAAAAAGAAGTCGACCATAGTGTCCCCCAAAATTTGCCCATAAAAGGGTTAGCACTGCGGCTTGTTCTTTGTCTTGTTGTCAGCGTGAGTCTGGTCACCTTTCCATATTGTGGAAGAAATTGGGTCCTCTCAGTAGACTTGTTGCAAAACGTGGTGTGGCATCAAAAGGAATGATCTGTATATAAGCGGTTGTGGCAGACTAGGGAGAAAATGAAGGAGGAAGCGTTGTGTGGTTGATGTCTCGGGGGCAAGGCTTTTTGGGTGTCTCTTGACGAAGGCCCTGGGAGCTCAGAAGTGGTGTGTTGCTTGCAGGCGAGAGCTCTCAAGATAGAGCGCCAGCCGGGAATCAGCGGTGTGCTGCCTGCGATGGACAAGAAGAAGCCCCTGAAGCGGCCGCGCATGGACAACCCGCCGCTGGGGGCCCGGGGCCCTGTAGCGAATGGGCCCCTGCACGCGCGGCCCCTGGTGGCGCTGCTGGACGGGCGCGACTGCTCGGTGGAAATGCCAATCCTCAAGGACGTGGCGACGGTGGCCTTCTGTGACGCCCAGTCGACCCAGGAGATCCACGAGAAGGTGCTGAACGAGGCAGTGGGGGCTCTCATGTGGCACACCATCACCCTGACCAAGGAGGACCTTGAGAAGTTCAAGGCCCTGCGTATCATTGTGCGCATTGGGTCGGGGGTGGACAACATTGACACGAAGGCAGCCGGGGAGCTCGGTGAGGCTGGGGGCCCCTTGGGGGCTCTCTCGGGGCCTGACGGTGCTCTGTCCCGCAGGCATTGCCGTGTGCAACGTGCCGGGTTACGGCGTGGAGGAGGTGGCCGACACAACACTCTGCCTGATTCTCAACTTGTACCGGCGCACCTACTGGCTGGCCAACATGGTGCGTGAGGGCAAGAAGTTCCAGGGCCCCGAGCAGGTGCGCGAGGCGGCCCAGGGTTGTGCCCGCATCCGGGGAGACACGCTGGGCATCGTGGGCTTGGGTGAGTGCGATGGTGCACCCGCTTCCTCAGCAGCTGACGGCGGCTGACGGCGCAATTGTGCCCTGCAGGGCGCGTGGGCACGGCGGTGGCTCTGCGAGCCCGGGTGTTTGGCTTCAACGTCATCTTCTACGACCCTTACCTGCCGGACGGCATAGAGAAGTCCCTGGGGCTGAGCCGGGTGTACACGCTGCAGGACCTGTTGTTTCAGAGCGACTGTGTGTCGCTGCACTGCACGCTCAACGAGCACAACCACCACCTGATCAACGAGTACACGATGAAGCAGATGCGGCCCGGCGCCTTCCTGGTGAACACAGCTCGAGGCGGCCTGGTGGACGAGGCTGCCCTCGCGGCGGCCCTCAAGGACGGCCGCATTCGGGCCGCCGCCCTGGACGTGCACGAGAACGAGCCCTACAACACCCTGGCAGGTGAGGCCCCAGGCAGAGCTCCATGCCGGGACAAGGGTAGGCACACTTCCTCCTCCCTCCTTCTCTGCACTGCTGTGCTTTGTCTCCGCTTACTGGATGCTTGTGTAGATCTGTGTAAAGACAAAGCCTTTCTAGCTTTCAGCTAGTGCTCAGATTGGCTGTGTATCATTACCCCATGGCGCATGTTAAGAACCCGGGACTGGCAGGATGAGAACGGCAGGGCATCTCTTTCAGGTGCCTAGTGTGCGCTTGTTGCCTTCTGCCGTGCTTTGTCTGCATGTGCACTCCCAAGGCTCGCAAGACACCAAAGTCTCGTCCAAGTTAGCCCCTCCCTGCCGTTCCTGTCGTGTTAGCGAGTACAGCAGTTTTATGGCTACAGTTCTCATCTACAGCGTGAACCAGTATCACCAGACTGCATGCCAACTGCCTAAAGATCTGTCTGATTTGCTTTGGCTTTGATTTCATAAAAGAGTTGGTAAAAGCACCGTGCTTCAAATGCTGAAAAAGGCATGCTCAGGGTTACCTACTGGTTGGGGAAGACTTGTGCAGATAACGAGCAAACTTCTTTTCCTGAATGTCAATTTGGATGTGGAGCGTGTACCCGTTCCAAGCACTGAGCTTGTTAAGGTTTTGTTGAGTGATCCCCGTGCATGTTTTGAGGTAGCTCTGTGTACGATGGAGCCAGGTGTGGAAGGGGTTGCCCTCTAGTGTTGCCCCATGCTTGCTCGCTCCTAGTAGCTCCTCTGTGAAGGTAGGCATGTGGCCTCAAGCAGCTACTCTCATTGGGAAGTTGCCAGAAGGGAGGAAGTACATGGTGGTGCATTTGTCACACACTTCCTTTCATGTCGGACGTGGTTTATATGTCTTTGCAAATTGTTCAATATTTGTTAGCGGCACATTCAGTGTATTCTTGTTGATGTGAGCATCACTACTCGGACACTTGTAGTCTTGAAGCACGTTTTTGGGGGTACCACATCCTCTTATGTGGATTAACTGAATCTGTTGCATTACGCGAATTCGTCATACTAACAGGGATGGAACTGCTGTGCCAATTGCACCATTGTGCGCCTAATGACTTTTCATGCGCCACACTGATACAAAAGTATAAATGAGAATGAAATTGCGTAAAGGTGCGCCCAAGCCCAAACAAGTTATAAATGAGCCTCGTCAAAATTAGCCATCTCGCAGTTTCTGCTGGCAACATTGACGTCAGAACTTCCGGCCCAAAGGGAACTCCGTGGATCCAAATCCAAAGCTCTGTATCCAAAGGTCGCTGCCGTGGTTATACTTCGTTTCAGCTTAAAACAGTTCTTACAGCACCCCTCATTGTAATGCTTCTACTTTGTTCAAGTCCACATGCAGATAGATGATGCTACAAGTACAAGCTCCAGGCTTTCAGCATCCTTGCCAAGAACGTGGGCTCGTGCAGTGTGTGCTGGCGACTGTAGCATCGGTTGCATCTGGACATAAGCTGAAACAAAGTATAGCTGCCGTTGCTGTATGCATTTCTGTAGCCCTGGAGTCACTTCATCTGAATAGTGGTGCAAACAGCACCGCCATATTGCGATAAACTGAAATGTATTTTAAGTTGGCGCTCCTCTCTCTTGGACTTGCGTGACTAGACGTTTCCACTGTACAAAAATCACAGTCCACACGTGCATAATCAGCCCAGCCAGCGCTCGCTCGCAGTAAACCTATTGCTAAATTGCCCAAGCATCTAGAAGCTTGCAGGGAATGTAGTTAGTTACTTGCGCTGCACGTGCTGGCGTTGGCAGTAGCATTTTTTGAAACACAAATCGAAAAAAACAAGTGGCAGTTCGCACGTGCATCTGCAAACGCCTTTTGGGATTTCTTTAAAATCCTTAAAGGCATACTTCTACGAAATTCGAAATATATCTGTCGTGTTCAAAAATAGGTTGAATATGATCCACAATATCCGTAAATGACAATCGCACGTTTGTATTTTGAGACTGGTGGTTCTATTTTTTGTTATAATTGGCCCATTTTAGCAAGCGCTTGCAGAAGGCCCAGCTTAGAGCACGTGACATCCAACGCAATCGTGACGTAGGTCGTCTCGGGACGAGCAAAGCTACCGTGAGGCTGACATTGAGAACATGGCCTAGTCGTTCCAGCCACCGAAGCGGCTGCTTTTGTAAGAATTTTGAGTGACGGGTTCGTCTTCTATAATCCTGTAGAGGCACAATAGCGACGTCTGGGACGCACAAAAGGAATTCTCGGGAAGAGGGGAGTTCCTCCTTCCCCTCTTCTCGTCGTGGCCGGAGGCAAGACAATAACCGTCACTACTTCTCAAGGTTCCTAGATGGGCATTACAAACGAGGCGTTAGCGACATCCACCAGGTGCTCTTTGCTAATTGTTTAATTTGTTTTAAAATTCTTTTTCATGTCTTTTTCAACAAGATATTGGTTTGTCCGACGTGATACTGCTCCTTTGAACACAGACCATAAAATAAGTGCCGAAGTTTCGTTGTAGTACCCTTTTAAAGGGGTAGGGAAATGAAATTCCAGCACCCATTTTCTAGCTTGAATGTGTTGCATGTTGCACCCTAACCTCAAAAACACCAGTCTTCCGTTGAAGGGCTCCAGAAAACTAATTTTAAAGCTAAATAAACAATCTTTCAATGTGCACCAGGTGGGTGCATGCGGAGCCTATTTGGGAGGTAATCTAGCAACGTTGGGGAACTTGCTTCGTAGTCGTGGCGTAGCAGATTCCTTCGGAGCAGCGCCGCTCTTTGGAATTTCAACATTTTCCTTCTTAGCTTTCCTCCTAGCTCAACTCACAAGTCGTGCATTGTACCAAACAATCCAAGAAGAGGGAAAGGAAGGACTCCCCTTTTTCTCGGACCTTCGTTCGTGCAACCCTACGCAGCCATTCTCCCCCTAGAAGATTAGCCCGTCGCTCAAAACTCGAAAAAGTTGCTTTCCCCACCCCGTTCAGCCGTAAGCTGACAGTGTTGAGGAAGCTACGTGCTCCTTGGGCCAGTCACACTCGTCACCCCAAGGGTACTTTGAACGGCTCGGTTGTAACGCACTGACGCTATTGACACCACCACAACGCTGACAACGCCACCAAGGGCAAAGCTCATAACCACGCCAGCCTTGCTACGTCACGAATGCGGGGAATCTTTTCTTTCTGTTTTTGTTTGCGGCGGATATCCCATGACGCATCGCGCACTCCGTTCGCTTCTCTTCGAGCGCTTGCTCGAGTGCACCGTTTGGAACGAAAAATATAGCCAGTCTTTCAAAATACAAAGGTGTGATTATCATTTACGGTTATTATCCGTCATGCTTGACTCATTTCCGAACGAAATTTGAATATTTCAACTTTTGTTTCTGTACCCCTTTAATACAAGTAAGGCGAGCGAGCGCAGTGCGTGTAACAACGTTCCCTGCATGTTTCTTAATGCTTGGGTAATTTAGCAATACGTCTATTGCAGCCAGCCAGAAACTGTGTGTGCATATCGCACAAACACAGCAATGAGCACACTCTAATACACTTTTCTGGCAAGGTGTATTGCAAGCCCGCGTTGGCCCGCCCCGGGGCCCCGCGCAAAAAACTCTGGGACACTTGGGAACAAAACAAAGGCAAGCGTGCAATAAGGTGTATGGCAGATCAAGGTACAACCTGAAAGCTATTACTGCCTGTTTTCATATATATACATTTCTTTGCAAGTCGGTTCCATCACGTGTCACACTGTCGTGCAGTTCTGCTTTATACGTTTTGTTTAATTTTCATGTAATTTCGTAAAAAAAATGTTTAAAATAAAATGCTAATTGAAACAACCGTTAAGTTCATATGGAGTTGCGTGCATGCCATATTTCCTTGAGTTTTGAAATCCAGCAGACATTTAGCCTCTATCTGAACATTCTTAAAACTCGTATGCTGCTCCGAACTTGCTCCAAGACATCATTTTTGCTGCTCTCAGCCTGCTTCAAACTATAGTTTTTTTCCGCTCCCAAGATTGCTCCAAAGCTGCTTTGCCCAGTTCCATCCCTGTATTAATGGGGGTTGATTTTGGTGCTCATTTACGAGTTCTTTATTTGAAATGGACGTTCACCTTGGCATACATTTTCTGTTGGTTACTGCTTTTGTAGCATTCTGGAATGGTGCTGCCCAAGGTGTCGTGTTTTTTTTTTTTTTCTTCCTGGTATTTTGAATTTTTGAGCAAGAAGCAGCTGAACTCCCAATCACAACGATGCAGGTTGATGGCTTTATTTCTGCTGCACTGTTGCAGTTTGATTATAATGAGGGCCATTGCTGGTGCCACTGTAGTAGACTTCCTATGCCTCGAGATTGAGAGTCTGACCTCATAGAGGTGTGTGTGCACGTTCAACTCGCCGGGATTTGCAGTTGCATCCACGAGGTGGGCCGTCACCTGGCCGGGTTCCAGAATAGACTGCTTCCATAAAGCCCTGCATGCAACACGGCGTGCATTGCACTCTGGGAACTAGTTGGCCAGGGAGGAGGGTGGCATGGTTTCGGTTTTGATCGACACGTCGACAAGAGATTATATACACAGAGCGTGGACTATTAACGGTCGTTATCTCATGTTTTCTGGTCCCGAGAGCATCATTTGTGGCCTCTAAACTAACCTAAATGGCTAGACCTCGAAGCTTTAGCACAAGCCCGAGACGTATAGCTTGTCTTAACACATGCTTGTTGTATTTTTGTACTTGAGCCTTTCTGTTAGCGTTCCAATCGAGGTATGTGGACTAGCCAGTGCTTGGAATTTCGACGCTGCGAAGCTCGGGGATCTTGCTTGTGTACGAATCAACAAGCTGTAGCAACCAATAAGTATGCATACATCGAGCTCGCGCCTTTACATTGGTGTTGTTGATCAGGAAGTTTGTTTGTTTCGTGCGTCCATAGACGAAATATTACTTTTTGCAATTCCTGTTTTTCTTAATACGCCCGAATACGCGAGGTAGAACTCGGAGGCGCCATTGAAGAGCTCAATTTTAACACACTTCTTATCTCTTATCTGTACTGACCCGCAGCACTGCACGAAGTGAAGTCC